TGATTGCAGAGTTACTTTCTCGTGGTCTTGGTGCCACTTCCAGCCAACTTGGGCAATTCGACCACTCCAAAATCTACCCAGAATTTGAAGCTCCCCCCATCACAATCTAGCAAAGGGGGTGCTGATCTATTATTTGTGGGTGCCAAAGCACCCAAGGTGCCGATGATGCCCCCCATGAAAGCACATTTTTACCGAACGACCCAGATTTGTGCCAACCTCACGCAACTGCCATCTCGCGTCTGACTCCAGGCTTGTAATGGGAGGTCTTGCGAGATTTCAGAACAGAGCTCTTGAATCTCACAGCAGATTTTTGGCCCAAACAGCAAAATCTTGGGAAAGGAATCCACTCATCAAAATTAGCACAAGTTCCAGAGCAGCGGCACCTTTTCTCCAGACTCGTGCAGAAGCCTGAAAAAAGTTGGGCCGCCCTGAGGTGCTGCGGGAAGGGGCTGCGCTTGCATGAGGTCCAAGGCGCTTCTTCCAAATCGTTTGGAGGTCGTTCAGATGCGCAAACGAGAACGGAGAAGCCTTTCTCCTGACAGCCCTGAGCACAAGAGGACCGAGTTCTGAAGCTCTGCTCTGCGATGACACTGCTGTCCAAAGTTAAACAATACAAGAGCCCAATTTGCTTTTAAAAGGGATCTGGAAAAGATTAGGAAAGCTGAGGAGAGCCAAGAAAGAAAGGAAAACCCGCATTACAGGATACAAGCAAGCCGGAGGCCTCCAGCTGGCGTCTCTGCCAAAAAACAGCTTAGCTACACGCACCTTCCTTGCCAAATGGAGTCGAACATTCTCAACAATTACCAGCTCAGAAACTTAAAAATCAGTAAACAGGCTTTGACCGCACCATCCATAATAGCGTAATACCTGCCATCGGTTTAACCAGAGACCTTTGACGGTTCATTTTTCCTTTTCAGAACTCACATTTGTCTGGCAGTTTGGAAAAACATGACCGATCTGACGTAGGGATGATGGGTTTTTAACATTCAATGAGCGGTCAAGCTGAGTCCAGCTGCTGGACCTTTTCTCTTCCTTTTTCTCCCCGTTCTCAGGGCAGAGCATGGAAGTTGAACCGGTCCTCCCTGACATGAAGCTTCCGCATCGGTTGCCAAGAAGAAGGGAAATCGGTGCCTTCGCCTCTTGCAGAGTTTCCACGCAAGGCAAAACACGACAGCAAGCTGGTCTTCCACGCGGGATGGCACTCGTCTGCCTGGGGTGGAAGCAGGAGAGTTGCCTCCCTTCCAAGTATTTTCCTTCTATAAGCAGCTGTGAACAGGCCTCCCTCTTCTCCCAAAGCAAAGCCATCGGTTAATGACTCGCTGCTTGGTGGAGGGAGGCAACGGCAGCTGGTTACCGGCAGGAAAACAGGAAAGCCCTGCAGGATCTCACTCCCCACAGAAAACTTGGCATTTTTTGCAACTAACTTGAGATACTGTAAGGACTTTGCTGAAATGGTCATGGACGTAATGGTCATGTGATGGAAATGCTCACTCAAATCACGGCTTTTCCATGTCAGAGATCCTCAGTCAAGAACAATCATATATAAGGACAGACAAGATGTCACGTTCAGGTCAGTAAAACAGAATTCCCATGAGCTGGGAGTCCTGGTCTTTGCATTGTAATGGCAGGGGCTCCAATTTGATGCCTCCCCTCTTTAAGGGAGGATCTACCTTCCACAGTACCGAACCTGCCTGGCCAGCAGAAAATCCCGGGAGGCTGCAGGCCACAAAACAGGGCCCAGGAAGCTAAGTGAGTTGCCTACTTTTCCTTTAAAAGTGCAAGCTAAACGAATTCTGGGGGAAGTACGGCAAACTGATTCACGGAGCTGACAACTGCGGCAAAGATCAAGGAACTGGTGAGTAGACCAGTTCCTTGGAACCTCTCCAGATAAGGAGGGGATGGGAGATTGCCCACATGTGCTCCGACAGCTGCTCCTCATGAGGAGACCACAAGACAGTGGTTTTCTGCAGGTTGAGCGCTGGGAGACGAAGGGATCAGCCATCTTGCTCACAACCACAGCGGGGACTTTTAAAGGACACTAAGCTCGCAAACCTCACTTTCTAATCACTTTTGGAAATTGCCTATTAACCATCTTAAAGGTATCAGAGACCTTTGGAATGACAAGTTTAAAAAGTCTTCATCGGGTGAGTTTATCTTCAACTCTGAGCAAAAGAAAAATTAATTGTAACCTTAAGAACTTAAAGAATTTGAAATAAACATCAAAAAGCTAAATAAGATTTTGATCTAAGAAAGTTATAAATGGATTAAGGGTACAGATAAATTTGGAATATTGACTTTTACTATAAGATTTTGGAATTAACTATAAGAAGTAAATAGCTTCTCATGGGAAACAGAGTTATTTTGGCTATCCTGGCTATTGCAAGTCTTAAGAAAGATAAGTGATGATTTTAGAAACTGGACACTAGAGGGGACTATAGATTCTAAGCAGCAGAAGAAAAGAAAATACAAACCTGGGCTTGATGTCAGTTATAACTGGGACTTACAAAATGACACAAAACATTATAACATCAAAAATATTAAAGGAGACCTTTGAAGAATGGAGCCAGAAGTTAGTAACTACAATATCAACAGTGTCAGCAATGATGTCTGCTTCTATGGATAGAGTATGTCCAAAAGATGTTAATGAAGGAATGACAGATGTGGAACAAATTTTAACTGACAAGACAGAGAAAGTACCAAAAGTGGAACTACAAATGACAGGCCAAGATCATGATTTGGAAAAGGACGTTTTACTGGCTATACAAAAGAAACTGGCAGAAGTTTTAAAATTTAAAAGGAAAATACAAATGATAAACCAAGAGAATGACCTGGATAATGTTTTTTAACTGGATCTACAAAAGAGGCTTATTAAAGCCTTGAAGAAATCTGTGCGATAGGTTAAAGAAGAATTGAAGAGAAATCAAATTCTACAACAATATTTGATTGTTAGATTGTTAAGACTGTTAGAAGTAAAAGGAAGGAATATAAAGTTGTTTTATTTGATCAAGGTTAAAAGTCAATATTCCAAATTTATCTGGACCATTAATCCATTTATAACTTTCTTAGATCAAAGTCTTATTTATCTTTTTGCTGTTTATTTCAAATTCTTTAAGTTCTTAAGTTGTTTCTGGCTACTCTTTTTGAGCTTTCTGCTCCTGACACCAGGACGAAAAAGATATACGTCTGTAACCTTAAAGAGGGTGAAGAGTCATTAAATTTGTTTACACTTGTGATGAAGGTTGGAAGTCACTTCTTTATATATTTTTCTTTTTATTATATTCCTTCTTTTCTTTATTATATTCTTTCTTTTCTTTTTCTTTTTTCCTGCACTTTTTATTCTTTTTTTCCATTCTCTTCTCTTTCTCTAAGTTTAGTTTGTATTTTTTCTTTTTATTATATTCCTTCTTTTCTTTATTATATTCTTTCTTTTCTTTTTCTTTTTTCCTGCACTTTTTATTCTTTTTTTCCATTCTCTTCTCTTTCTCTAAGTTTAGTTTGTATTTTTTCTTTTTATTATATTCCTTCTTTTCTTTATTATATTCTTTCTTTTCTTTTTCTTTTTTCCTGCACTTTTTATTCTTTTTTTCCATTCTCTTCTCTTTCTCTAAGTTTAGTTTGTATTAGTTTTTACTATCGTAATTAAAATTCTTAATAAAAATTATGTTTTTTTTTTTTAAAAAGCAAGCTAAATATTTTTAGCATCTTGAACAAGGCAGGCAGGAAGGAGCGTAGAACATTTTTCACCGTTTAAAGAAGTGGCAACTTTAGGTAATGAAGGGCGTTTCCATTCCTTCTCTTAAATCATCTGGGTAAATAATCAGGCAAACCACGTGTCATTTAGAAGACACCAACTGAGAATGAGAAGTGCAGGACAATCCAAGGGTTAGAAACCACTGGAAGGGAATCAAACCCAAATGAACGGCAGGGAAATGGTAGGGAAATAGCTCTCAGGGTAAGAAGTAAGTCCACTGGGAAGTTCCAAGTCTGTAGAACAAGATTGCTTTGTGGTATGGATGAGTATCATGTTTTAGCAAAAGGGGAACATGTTACTGCCTTTAGCAGCACTGAGGGGTTCAGTGCTATCCATGGACCCCACAGATTTCTGGAGGCCTAGCCAACACCTCCAAGCAAATGAAGTTTCTAGCCCTCATGGCAGTAAAATGCAAAGATCTAGGGCTGCAGGATACGTAAGTGGTGATTTGTTGCTCGCCCATGTTCGTGGGGGAACCAAACTCGTACAATGTCTTACTAGAACCGGATGCCTGCAACTTATTCCTCCCCAGCCTGCCTTCAAAACCAGTCCTGGGAGCCTGCCAGATATTAGATCACCAGTGCATCTATATTAACTGTGGTAATCTAACGCATTGTTACAGACAGATTTTCAGCTGTACCAGATGGGTCTCTGTGGGCAAGGGAAGCACACGAGCACTCTCTTTGCAAGATTTCAGAGGAGTAAGCCAAGGCTTTCGCTACAACTCTCTTCTTCTCTCACTCTACTGAAAATTATTCTTTTGTGCCACAGGGACCTTCATGGGATTGCCGAAGAGGAGCAGGAGATGTCCCAGGACACCAAGGAACCAGACGCAGTAGACTTGCACCAGATCGCTCCTGGGACACAACAGCATTGTCCCTGTCATCTGAAAACTGGATCTTTCTAGGTCTAACCAGCCCCGCACTTTCTCTACCCAAGACACTGGAAATTTGCTGCCAGTAGAAAAACAGTGCTAAATTATTTTATTGCTTTGGGGAAAGCAAAACATACAGCCCTTCCTATGATGTAACCAAAACATTCTGCAACTTTCTCTCCTTACTGAATTGGGTTTCAGTATTATTTGATTTTATGAGTCTTGAACTTGAAAACGTCTCTGGATGCGTGCAACACACAGGCTGATCCTCCAGTTTCACCCAGGCCACTTCTGTCCACCTTACCGTTAAAGATTCAATTAAAGTATGGGATAACTTACCCTAATAACGTCTGAATGGGAAGCGGAACAACTTACTTCTTCCTCGAGCTTCACCACCTTGGCCTGTGCATTGTTCAGCGCCTGATCGCGTATCTCAATGTGCCTCCGCTGCTCCTCATTAGTCGAGCGAACCCCTGCCAGCTCCACTTCCAGTTTCTCCTTTTCCCTCTGCGTTTCTTTGTCTGTGCAGATAAAGCGGAGAGGGGAAAAAAATGCCGTTTTGAGAATGGCGGGGGGGGGGGCAGGGGCAAAAGGGGGGGCTTTTGGCTTTGGGGGGGAAGGGAAACTGGTTTCACCCACTTTTTTCAAAAGATTATGACACTCAGAATACGGATGGTATGGATCGTATCGTCCTCAGTTATGCCTTGGAAGTTAAGCAGTAGCAAACAGTTGGTGGCTGAGAGGAACTCTGTGTGTGTGTGTGTGTGTGTGTGTGTGTGTGTGTGTGTG